CAAATAGCAAAAGAGAAAAAGGTACAAAAAGCAGGAAGAATACACTTCCCACTTCAATCTGCCCCCTACTAAGTGGTTCCCAAAAGCTTCATTCAATGATTTAAATATCATTTTTGCCACTCCTGCAAAGGAGGCTGGGAATCCTAATTTGGGGCTAGGAACTTTGCACGCTGCACTCACCAGGTTCTTATTATAAAGAAGAGAAAACTGGCTGTTGAATTAGCAACTTGCAGTTTCCACCCTGACTGGGCGAAAGGAGAGCCATTTCCAAAAGCAGGAATCTGAGCACACCCCCAACAGCTTAACCCAACTACCTGGAGCTGACACAGAGCAGCCAGATCACCCTGGTGGRGAAGACCAAGGAGCAGAAGTTAGCACATCAATGATTTCTCACTTCTCAACCTCTGTTCCCCCAAAGCAAATAAGGTTCAACTTTCCACTGGTGGGTATGAAGGATGCCCTGAGTTCAGGAAAACATTATCTGAAATGATGTAGACTTGAAGCATCGAACAAACGAATGGGCTACATTTGACCCTCYATAAATAAAGTTTCATAAATAATGTTTTATTGAAAAACAACCACATTTGTTTATGTTTTGTCTAATGGACTTTTTCATACAACCGCCGCAAAGTTGAATGGTTGCATCAAAGACCTTCTAGCTCACAAAACCTAAAATATTTATCATCTGGCAGCATATCAGGGCAATTTCCAACCCTGAAACTATAAAAAGATAAGAACAATAGCAACATTATTGAATATGTACCCTGAGTCSGGGTCCTGGCCTGTGTTTTGAAGACTCTTCACAATTGGTTTGTTTAGAATGGGATCTCTCTCTGGTRTAAAGTAAGTTTTTAAAAATGTATTTTGACATATTATACACATATGGAGTACAACTTCTGATTCTTCTGATTATACATGATGTGAAATTACTTTGGTCATATATTTATATGTGAWCATAAGAAAGTAATGTCTGATTCATTCTACTATCATAAAGTAAGTGGGGCTGGGGTTGTAGCTCAGWGGTAGAGCACTTGTCCAGCATGTGTGAGGCCCTGGGTTCAATTMTAGCACCACATAAAAATAAACAAAATAAATTGTATCCATCTACAACTAAAATATTACAATGTACTTTTTTTTTTTTTTTTTGCATGGGAACATGGTTAAACCTTTGTTACAAAATAGGAAAATGGGCTACAGAGAGATTTAGGTGTTGTGCCAGTTCATAACTAAGTAGCAAACCAAGATTCTGAGCAGGGTCATTTGTAAATCACCCACAACATTTCAGAAAATATTCATTCTGTAAATGAGGAGCCCCTAGTCGTCACAGTGTGTCCTTATGTAAAAACAGGGACAAGCTCATGAATGATCCCGAGTTTATATGATGCTGGTCATTGTTCCTCCACTYTTCTCAGAGGCTAATTCAAATCTCTGCCACTTTCCTGCACACTTGCCTTGAAAGTGACACGGAAAAAAAATGATGTCATCAGAAGGGAAACTCGCACTCTCTTCCAGTCTATAAAAGTTCAGATTCCTGAGACCACCCTGACTGCACTCCCCCTCCCCCTGGTGGAGTGCTGACCTTCCACCTGAGGATTACCTCCCCCCTGCAATAGAGACCCCAGCCCCTCCTGGACCCTCCTCCATGAGTCATGCCCTTTCCCTCCTTCTACCATGAGTCTTAGTCCATGAATCCATRTGGTCCCTCAGTCCTGGACCTCCTTGGGCCATCACCCTTCAAATCCAATGACTCGAGAAAGTCCCCCGTTTCCCCACTTCCTCACGCCCCATCCATACCACAGTCTACTGCAGCGTGGTCCCCACTGTCACTCCAGTGAACATGTCCTCAGTAAGTCATGTCCTCAGTAAGTAAGTCTGCTCACCAACTTCAGTCGTCATTTTCAGTCTCCACTTCTCTTCTTCCAACAGTTGACTCTGTCAATCATTCTTCCATTTTGAAACTTTTTTTCTCAATATCCATGAATTTAACTTCCTCTGTCTCTCCTCCGTCCTCTTGAGTGGATCCTTTTACATTTCTTCCCTCTCTTCTGCCTGCTTCTTAAATACTCTTGCTTCTCAGCCTTCAATTATGTATGCTCTTCTCCTTCTCCCTTATCTGTAGCAATCTCAGCCAGAGCCACTGAGGCAACAATGACTCCTCAGTCTTTACTCTAACCCTACCCCTCCTGAGCTGCAGAGATACAGATTTCTAATTCCCCCCACAAAATGTGTGCACTTGCATGACTCACAGAGACTTCAGGTTTCACATTCCAGAATGAAATTCACCCTATGTGGTTGTGATGCAAAAATACGTAAGCAGAAGAATAACTACCTTCTCTTTACTCATTGCCTCAGGAACAGCAACACCATTTACCTAGACCATTAACTGAATGTCGTCCCAGACTCCACCTCACCCTCTACATTCACTCAGCAGCGGAGTCCTGCTTCACTACCTTGACACGGCCCACCTCTCTGCTCCYTCACCCTCATTGCTCTCTCCTGGACCTGGGTACCTCGCAAGCAATTGTCTCCTAGCTGACTTCCTGCCTCTAGCCTTGCCCCCTCCAATTCATCCTTCAGACGACTATCAGAGGAATCTTTGAAAGCCTGAGCTTCACACTCTTATTTAAAACACTTTGGTTCTAGTCAATTATCAAGAATACAAGCAATAATAATTGTTGGCAAGGATGTGAGGGAAAAGGTACACTCATACTGTGCTGGTGGGACTGCAAATTGATACCACCACTATAAAAAGTAGTATGGAGATACCTCAGAAAACTTGGAATGGAACCACCATTTGACCCAGCTATCCTACTCCTCATTTTATACCCAAAAGACTTAAAATCAGCATACTACGGTGACACCGCCACATCGATGTTTATAGCAGCACAGGAACCAACCTAGACGCATTTCAACAAATGATGGATAAAGGAAATGATGTATATGTACATAATAGAATATTACTCAGCCTTAAAGAAGAAATTATAGCTTTTGCAGGTAAATGGATAGAACTAAAAAACATCATGCTAAGTAAAATAAGCCAATCCCAAAAAACCAAGAGCTGAATGTTTTCTCTGATTAGTGGATGCTGTTCATAGTAGGGCAGGGGGTCAGAGAAGAATAAAGGAACTTTGGTTTGTGTAGAGGGGTGTGAGGGAAGGGGTGGAGTTGTGGGGATGGGAAAGATGGTAGAATGTGACAGACATTATTACCCTATTACATGTTATGATTACACTACTGGAGTAACTGCACCATGTATAGCCAGAGGAATCAGAAGYTGTGATCCATTTGTATACAGTGTGTCAAAATGCATTCTTACTGTCATATATAACTAATTAGAACAAATAAAAATAATAAAAGAGAAATGTTTTTAAAAAAGAAAAACATAAAACCCTTTGGTGACTAAATAATGTACAAGTAAAGTGAAAAATATTAGCACTGGATTCATGCATTGGACAATCCTGTGTCTTATCMCACCTTTTTTCATTTTTTATTTTATTGATTGATTGATTGATTAAATTGGTAYAGGGATTGAACTCAGGAACACTCGACTACTGAGCCACATCCCCAGCCCTATTTTGTATTTTATTTAGAGACAGGGTCTCACTGAGTTGCTTAGTGCTTCACCATTGCTGAGGCTGGCTTTGAACTCGCSATCCTCCYGTCTCTGCCTCCCAAACTGCTGGGTGTTTTATTCCTTCTTTCTAGTGATTTTCACCCCTTTCAAAATTGGTCCTGCATCTCTACTTCCTCACATTCCCCCAAAATATCAAGGTCTTTGAGATCTCGTGTCTTTATGCACACAGACATGCTGTCACCTTGGAGAAGTCCTGCCCATCTTTGGATAATCACTGTGGTGAAGGCACAATCACTCCCCAGACAGAAATATCTTTGTTTATCCTTGTGCAAAACCCAAATAGCATCCACAAACTGAACCATAATGTAATTCCTCATTTTTTAGAGCCTCCTGCCCTGCTAGACTCTCAGGACCCCAAGAGCAAGGGCTGTGTCATTTGCATTTCCTGTCATCATCCTGTCATCAGCACTTCACATGGTGCTCTTAGAAGACTATTAGAATTGATCATTGCTATTGTTATCAGATAATTTTCATCAGAATACAAATACAAATAAATGCCTGCAATTTAAATCTCAACATTTAAAATTTGTAATAACCAAATAAGGAAACTTTTGTGGTTGTAGGATTTTGAGGGGGAAAAAATAAGAACTCTTAAAACAGGAAAGCATTTCACTTACCTAGTATGGTTTACTTATGCCCCAGACTGCGGGCAAAAGGAATGTGCACCTGAGCAAATGACATCCCATTTGTCAAGATCCTTCCCAAATAATGATTAATCAAGTCAACTCTCTAGTATAAATTCCAAACAGGTCATATCAGTAGTCTTTAATAAGAATTCTGATTCTTATTCTGATTCTGTCATCAATTCAGAGAGGTATGGATGAAGTAGTACAAACTTAYCAGATGAAATAAGGTTTGTGAAAGCACAATCTTGGCATTGCTTTGAGATTTAGGAATGTAGAAACTTCCCTCCTCCACAATTCAGTGTAATAAATGGCCATAGTTATAATAAACCACCCAAACACCACACACTTGGGCACCCAGTACAGAATGACTCCATATTTATTTCCTTCCCTTTTCTGCATGAAATGTATTTTTGTACATTTTTACCTGAGCATCTCTTTGCAATGATTGCATAAAGGTTCTCCCAGTGCCAAGCTGTAACCTCCCTGGACTGAGAGCCTAGCAATGGCTAAGAACTCACATCAACTTTTTACTCTCTAAAAGGAAAACCTTTTCTACTATTTTCCGTTCCTAGTTTAAATGAAACAAAAGTTACCAAACCAATGGAACAAGTGAAACATTGTTACCTTAAATGTTAAAGTGTTGCCACCAGTTGCTTCCTTCCAACTGAAACTATGGATGCCGTTTCCCCCATTTGGGAAATCTGGTCCCCTCCCAAGCCCCTTTGCCTCCTCCCTCTTACCTGTATTCCTCCGGAAGTGTCAGTCCTCCCTCTTAGTGCTAATTGGATGGCCTAGGAGCCCTGCTACAGACTCATGGCCTGATTGGCTTGGCTCAGTGTCACTCTCTATTCTGGTCCTGCCTTTGCTCAAGTTTACACTCCTGTTGCCTGGGAAATCCCTATGACTGTGAAAAACCAAGCTTTGCTCTGGGAGAGAAGCCAGCAGGAAGTTTTGCTAGCAATTGTTTGGTTTCCAGAACAGCATCAAAACTTGCCTCCCACGTTTTACAAGATAATGTTCAGCAAGCTGTCTTACTTCTTCCAGGCAGTCCCTTCCTAGCCTTCTGTGGTCTCCAGAGGCTCGCTGCTAGGCTACTACCAGGCAAAACATTAAACCACAGCTCTCAGGAGCAGGCAGGTGTAATCACAGGTGATGAAGAGCCCTCCCTTTTTCTCCACATTCATGCACTGATAAAAAGGACTTTTCTGCTGTTTCCATTCTTGGTTTCTTCTCTTTTCTCTCTGTTATTTGGTTTTCTCTTCTCTTCTCTCTTTACCTCTATTCCTTGGCAATACATTTGCCAGACAAAATGTCACCTAATTGTCCTGGGTAGGGGAAAATATCTAAATAATGGTCTCTTTTGCTAGCTATCTCTGCTATGCATGCCCCCCATCCTTCACACCCCATGCTCCTTTCCATGGTGGGGTGATGCAAAGAATTCAGGACCAGAATATGGAGACCTGCATCCCACTTCCTTTTCTATATCTGACTTGATGCATATTCTCAGAAACATGGTAATCGATTTCTAAGATCTCTAAAATTAATAGTACATCTTCTTGTCAACTTCTCAGAATTGCCCTAGAGGTCAAAGGTGTGAGATAACACACTGGCATTGGTTGAGGGTATTTCTGACAGAGTTATGATATGAGGGCAAGAAAAATCTACTTGCTAAAACTATCTTCTTTGTCTCTCTTTAAAAGTCGGATGCTATTTCCAGAAACCCCTACCTTTGGCACATGATATAAAGCAGTGAGAAGATGTGGACACTGCGGGGATTCCATGTGTCTCCCACCTCCACCCCAGGGTGTTCTGAGTGTCTTCTTCACACACCACGAGCCATTTTATCCAAAACTCCCCCTCCTGGCTAAAGCTCACCTAGTGGTATTGAGCTGTGTCATTTCACTTTCACTAAGTGAAATTATGAAGCCGAACTAATTAGCTATTAAGGAGCAACCACTTAGGAAGCCCATCAAGGACAGATAAATCTGCTTCCTAATTAACCAGTAAGACAGCGAAAGTCAAGTGAGGGCTTATACTCTAGGAGGAAGAAAGACATCTTTCTAAGTGCCCATCACAGGACCTGGCACAACAATAAACATTGGTTGAATCAAATTGTTGAACTGAGTAAAATGCATTCCTATTAAGGACTTTGACAATAAAAGGTCCACTTTTTGGTACTATTTGGAATAAAAACCAATAGTCTTTCTAAGACTTTAGGTTATCCTTTTGCATGATCAGTTGATGACAAATAAAAAACGTAACCATCTCACAATAGGCTGTGCCTAGGATGTGATAAATGAGACAAAAGAAGACTGACATAGAGGGAAATCCATCCACAGAGCATTTACTGCAGATGGGCACACAAAGAACCCTTATGTGGTTGTGATGCAAAAATACATAAGGAAACACAAATAACATTTGAACTTCATTTGAGGATCTTAAAATATACCACTTAATACAGATAGTCCCCAACTTACAATGGTTGAACAATATTTCTTTGACTTTATAATGGTGCAAAAGTGATATGCATTCCACAAACACCACACTTCAAGTTTTGAATTTTGATCACTTCCCAGGCTAGAGATATGTAGTACAATACTCAGAAACAACTAACATCATGCCTCTCCCCATCAGCCATCCCAAGGGAAAACAACAAATACTCTACTATGGCTGTGCTGCTAAGTCATCACGTTTGGAAGGTCAGGTTATTAAATGCATGCTTTGCTTACAATGTTTTTTTATTTATGATTAGTTAAGACATAACTCCACTGTAAGCTGAAGAGCATATCTATATTTTTTTACATGTAAATTTGTGTCATGTTTCATAAGCACCCATTTAAAACCCAACAAATTAAATATTTTACCTTCATTTAGAATTTATCAGTCAAAAGCAAAATGTATTTTTTGTGGTTATGGAAAAAACCCAGGTCTCACTCACAAAACCTTAGATTAGGTCTGAATATATGTTATAGTTTAGAGAGGTACCCCTCAGCGATTCCCAGTGCAGGAATGTTTAGAGGTGAAATGACTGGGTTGAGATGAGAGCTGTGACCTAGTCTGGATGGGCAGACTGGGTGGTGACTGTGACAGATGGGGCATGGCAGGAGGAGGTGGTCTATGGGGAGTATCCTCCAGTGGCTCACCTTCCATGTGACCCCTTTGCCTTCTCTCAACTTCTGGGCCACCAGGAATAGAGCAGCGCTCCCTCACCACCCTCTTCTACCATGATGCCTCATCTTGAACCCAAAGCAAAGAAGTTGGTCCACCGTGCACTAAGTCTCTGAAGTAATTAACCAAAGTAAACTTTTCCTCCTCTAAGTTGTTCTTGTCAGTCATTTTGGTCACAGTGACAAAAAGCTGACTAATACAGTATATTAACTTAGTCCCTAAGATTAGCCTATTTCCCATGTGTCTTCTGGTGCCCAGGAAATGGATCTTTTTCTTACACACAAGTACCTTTTCTCACTTCCAAATTGCACCAACTCTATTTTGGACACTATTAAAATGCATTCACATATTCAGTTATTTTCAAATGCAACAGTAACTCACAAATACTAAACTTTAAGATATCAACCTGGAAAGACATTAACAAACACATCTCACCCATTATAGATATTTAAATAAATTTTAAAGTATATTTTGTATACAACAAACCACATCCATTTAAAGTATGCAGTATGAGTTTTGATAGATGTGAACATGTATGAAAACACTAACAAAATCAAGACATATTACACTTACATTATGCCATTTATAGTCCACCTTCCAGCAACCCACAGCCCATGCAACAGTTAGTCTACTTCTCTCTCTCTCTCTCTCTCTCTCTCTCTCTCTCTCTGTGTGTGTGTGTGTGTGTGTACATGTGTATGTTGCTGGGGATTTAACCCAGAGGTGCTTTACCACTGAACTACACTCCCAGTTCTTTTTTAAAAATTTTTTTTATTTTGAGACAAGGCCCAAGTTTTCCATGTGGCCTTGAACTTGTGATCCTTGTGTCTCAGCCTCCTGAGTCACCCAGATCAAAGTCCTGCACCACCATACTGGACTAGTCTGTTTTTCATCACCATAGATTAGTTTAAATTTTTTCAAATTCCACATAAATGGAATCATCTATGACATACTCTTTTGTGTCTGGTTTGTATTCCATGCAATCAGTGGGAGTCGCTAATGGATTTAAGCAGGAGAATGATAGAATCAGATGGTCAAGATCATGCTCACAGCCCCGTGGAGAAGGCTTGGAGGTATCTGCATGGCTCCCCAGATGATACTGATCAGATTTCAGGGATTGGGATGCAGCTGGCACAGAGATGCACCAGGTGTCAGTAAAGGACAATATGCTGTGAGTGGGAGAAAGGGAGTTACTGGCCAAGCTCCTCAAGTTCCCTCATCTCTGGATCCCAGATCATGAGGGAAATGAAACATGAGCTTCTTCTTCTGCAAAGAGGGCTTCTCATCTATCCCTCAGGGATGATTGCCAAAACTATTTCAAGAAGGTGCATAAGAACAGCTTAAATAAAACCTTTTATCTCACACACACACACACACACACACACACACACACACACTCACACAAACACTTTTGTATGTGACATGATCCTAGCCATGTGCATCATCCTTGTACCATGAGAACCCACAGAAATGGGTAGATATTTTGCACCCAGGTCTGCAGATATCTAGGTGTGTGTGGATGCTTCAGTCCAACACAAAATTAAGCCACACCAGAGAGTAGTGTTTCTCCAAATAATCAATAATAACACAGTGAGTGTTGAATGGAATGGAGTAACACTATGTAAGGGAGCCAAATATGGTAGCAGTGTGACATGTGGAAGCTGAGTCTACTGAACTTAGCAGTTAACATAAGCCCACACAATCGTGTAGTTTTTTGGGGGGATGGGGGTACTGGGGATTAAACTTAGGGGCACTCAACCACTGAGTCACATCCCCAGCCCTATTTTGTATTTTACTTAGAGACAGGGTCTCACTAAGTTGCTTAGCACCTCGTTTTTGCTGAGGCTGGCTTTTGAACTCACAATCCTCTTGCCTCAGCCTCCTAAGCCGCTAGAATCAATCTTGTATATTTTTTAAAAATCTTTTTCTCCATTATAATATCTTGACATCAGCCTTTCTGGCTGATGAAAGACTGTCTCCATTCAGAATACCTCCTTCTTATAAATGACAAATGGCCCCATTGGTAGCATACTTTTGGCTATGCACACTGAACAATCCAGAAGTGTGCCTCCTCTTTCTGGCTCATGTGCCCCCAAAAGCTACATATCTTTGCTTTACTCATCCCAGGGCCAGGTACCAGACAGAGACTGCCCCTAGAACCCAAAGTCCACTTAAAGTATTCAAACCAGCTAATCCTGGACCACTCACCCAAACTTGCCTTTCCCTTAGGAACACCAATTAAGGTTCTAATTTAATGCTTTCCTCTGAGTCCTGTGTTCTGCCTTGGGATCACTCTGGTGACATTCCATGGTGGCCATGAATGGCATACCTTCTGTCTCTCAGACCTGTAACTCTAATAAAATGTTTTCCTGAGCCTTTCTTTTTCTCCTTCTTTTAGTGAGCTTTCTTGCTGCTGGGACATAAAAGACCCAACCAGCACAATTGTTAAGGAGAAAGGTTTATTTGAGGGCTCACGGTTTCAGAGGTCTTAGTCCATAGAAGACTGGCTCAAGATGAGGCTGAACATCGTGGCCAAGTGTGTGGTGGAGAAAAGCAGCTCACATCATGGTGATCAAGAAGCAGAGAGACTCCACTAGCCAGATACAAATATATACTCAAAGCCACACCCCAATTCCCACCTCCTCCAGCCACACTCTACCACTTCAGTTACCACTTAGTTAATCCCTATCAGGGGATTAA